GAGGCGAGCGGCGTACAAATCACCGCCGGGACAAAACTCCATAACCAAGCAAGAGTAGTGTGAAGCTTCAAACGCGGCATAGAGCGTGGGCAAGAACGGATGATCAATCATTTTAAGAATCTCCTTTTCCATCTCCGCTCTTCTTTCCTTATTCCTCACACACACCGCTTCTCTGTCCACCACTTTCATCGCGTAGCAGCACTGCCCGACACGCGCCGTCGGCGTCGGCTTCCTTATCTGGCAGAGATAAACATTCCCAATGTCTCCGCTCCCTAACCGCCGTAGCAGCCGGAAATTCTCCAACCCCACCTCCCCTTTTGCTCCCCGGAGCCACCGCATCGCTTCCCATGCTACTTCGTTGGCTTTGTGCGGCTTTTGAACTGGAGAAGTGCCGTCTGTGGCTGAGCTGCTGCTACGGCGGCGCTGGCTACCGAAGCTTAGGTTGCTCATCCAGCTGCGGGTGGAGTCTGGGAGTGTTATGGAGGAGCAGCTGCTGTCGTAGTCTGACTCGTCTTTGGCTATGGCTGCCATGGCGGAACGAAGAACAAAAAGAAGGAAGAGAAAGCGTTTGGTTGAGTTTGTTGTTGTGTTTGTGTTTATATATATATATAAAGCTTTGTGTGTGGGCTTTTTTTTAGTACATCCATTATAATGTTCTTCTTTTTTTTCTTTTTCCTTTTTGAATTTTGAGATTTGTTTTTATTTGATCCGAATACTCGATTTTTAACTAAATACAGACGTTCAATCATCTCGAGTGCAAAGAGATTTCTCTTAGTTACTGAACGAGACTAGGGATGTGGATTATTGTCGATTGTACCCTTGATCTTCCCCAAATCTCTATCCATATATAGTTCGTGTTTCAAGATGGGTTGTATGGGATCCCACAGGTTGACGCCAAGAGCACGGAGATGTCGAAGCACGCCAAAAGGCTCGTGCTACCAGTACGATCGGGACGATGATGTCTCCTCAGGCATAACAAAGGTTTGGGCTTTGGGCACTATCTCAATCTGCCATCTCCATATTGTAAAATACTTCCGTGCAATATTGAAATTTTAATTTTTAAAATTATATTTTTTTTAGCCGTCGAACTCAAGTACGAAAATTTATGTTGAGTCAATAGTCATCGAGATGAGCACCTTGCTCTTGGATAGGGTTCTAGACCTGGAGTAACCTAAACCGTGAAAATGAAGTTATGGGAGAGAAATACACACGTCGTGCGGCTCGGATTCCATTCTAATCTTTTACATAATCTCTCAAGATTTATGAAGATGGAAAAAATGTCTGAAATCCTTGTCTCGGTCCTCACGAAATTTGTAACGAGTTTCAAACGATCAATTTTAAATTTAATGAATCGACGATATTAGTTGGGAACTGATTTTAAGCAAGTCCAAATGGATCAAAATTCAAAAGTTATTTTATTATTTTCCCATCATTTTATTCAAGTTCTTTATCATATTACATACGTGGCAAAAGAGAACGAGCGTGGCATTTTCGTTATTTCTCGAAACAGTTTGGATAGTTTGGGAAATATATACGGTCAAAAAGGCAAAATTCTTTTTTTATTTTGGTGGATGATCAAAGCGTATAAAATAAAACGTATCCTAGGAGTAAAACGACGTCGTGGTAAGATGAGGGTATTTGAGTAATTTCATTACGGCAGCGGTGCACGAACCGCCCGTGCCTCTAATTGATATCCACCACCTACTGTCACGTAGTTCGGTCCTTTAATTTACTTTTCCATCCTCGCTTTTCTCACACATGTGAACCCAAACAATCTACAAATTATTATTATTATATATTATAAAGTTTTTTAATATTAAAAAAAATTATTTATTTTATCAAATCCCTCCGCTCGATAATGTCGTTAAAATTACACTAGAAATCTAACATAACGCTCCATATTCAAGATTCGATATCAGATGGTCTCGACATACCTATGCATCACCTACGGATCAAATTACCTACTCCTCACTTCTTAAGAGTGAAGACTATTCTCACAGATCCTGACGGGTGACAAAACATTTCTTATCATGGTATAGAAACCTCTCTTTCTTAACAGACGTATTTTAAAATTGTGACGAGTCAAAACGAACAATATCTACTAGGAGTAGACTTGAATTGTTACAATTTTTTAAATCGTAAACCCGAACATATCTCGATCGATCGAGATGTTTCTTGAAAATTAAGTCACAATCGAGACGAAATCTTATCCCCCAGTTATGTGGGATTTGCAAAGCACTTTGAGATGGCTTTTTGTTAAATTTTTTTAAAAATTCACCACTTTTGGTGTGCAAGATCTTATCATCTTCTCTCTTTGGTTACCATTTCAGTCAGCAATCTCAGAAAAACCTGCAGAGTTGCAGAAGTTTGAACACACATAGCCATTCCCCCCCTCCATCACTTTGCCCCATACATTCTTCTCCCCTTTACTTCACCTTTTCCACAACATCTCGTCGCTAAAACGTCGTTTTACGCTCTAACCAATCGTCTTACTATAGAAACGTTATCGTTCGTTTTGGTTTTAGTTGCGTGAGGTTCAATAACTTAAATGAGAGTCGGGTGTCGGTAGTAGAAGTGAGTATCAGTGGCCTAAACCATAAGCTTGAACAGCAATTTGAGTTACAATTTAGCAAGATTCGAGAGAAAGTAATGGAAACGAGTCGACATTTTTTTTTATTAGCTCGACCCACTCAAAATAAGGTTACAATTCAACTCAATTCTACTGTACTTTTAATAATATTAAAAAAATCAGTAATATTTTATCTTTGTAACCGACGTTAAGGTTTGATATTTGAGTTTTATTAGATTTTAGTTAACATTATCGTGGATTACTCGGACCATTCAACCGACCCGATCGGTGTATACCTAATAATTTAGAAGAAAAGTTAGGAAAAAACCAAAGACCTACGGTCAGCATCTTGGAGTTGTGTTGTACTAAATTTACTGAGCAACCAAACATGGCCAACCTGACAGCTCTAGACTGTCAAAACATATATGGCAAAAAAAAAAATAATAATCAATTTATAATTGTAAACTTTTTAAATTTAAAATTTAAAAAAAAAAAATATATATATATATATAATTTAACGCTCTTCCAAAGATATTAATTGATTTAGACACCGTTAGTAAATATTGTTCTGTTTAGATTTTTTATTTTAGATTCTCCTCAAAGTTTCAAAACATGTTTGGTAGGAAGAGGTTTCTACGTTCTTATAAAAAATGTTTTGTTCCCCTTTCTAACTTACGTGGGATCTCATAATCCACCCGCTTGCACACTACTCGAAACATGGATTTGATACAATTTATAACAGCTCGAGCTCGTCGCTAGTAGATATCGTCAACTTTGACTCATTGCGTATCATCATCAGTTTCATAGTTTCAAAACGCATCTGTTAGAGAGAAATTTTCACAATCCTTAAAAAATAATGTTTTGTTTCTCCCTTCAACCCTAAATCCCAAATCTCTCGGCGTTCAAATTAAATAATAAAATGAATTTTACTATAAATATTATACCATAAAATTATAAAATAAAAAAATGAAGGGTTAAATTATAAATGTGAAGGCATAAAATTCAGTGAAAATGTAAAAAATTTAAAATATTAATTAAAAAAAAAAAGAAAAAAAGACATGGGGATGCATAGATGACTTCTGAACTGTTGTTTTCTTCAGACATATCATCATGGGCAGCTTCTTCTCATGTTTTTTTTATTTTATTTTATATTTTTAATTTAATTTAATTAATTGTATATAAAAATAATGTTGGTCAAAAGGGCTGTCCTTATATTTTTATAAACTATAGAGTAAAACATTATTAAAATGAATAATATATAAATATCTTAGCTTTTTATTATAAAGATTCCTGTCACAAAGAAATTAATGTACTTTTTATCCTAAGTATATTAAATAAATGTATAGGTAATTCTTCCAGCTGGGCAAGGGTAATTTGGTCTAATCAATATTTCATTAGTCAATCCAAAAAGGACCTTAAAATAAAAGTTGAATCCAAGAAAGGACTGTTTTGAAAACTGTGCTTTGAATGCCTTACTGTCTCATATCATTACTCCCTCCCTCTATTTTAAATATTATTTCTATTCTTTTTATTTTATAAATTTTAAAATTAATTCCTATATTTAATTTATTATATTAAAATTAATAGCATTCTTCAATTTTTTAAAAAATTCTAAAAAATATAAATAAAGAAGAAAACATCCTTAGGGCAAGTTTTTTTTACTTCCTGCGAGCAAAGAGACATCTTGGTAGGAAGGCTGACTACTACATAAGCCGCCATCCGTCCAGGAGAGAAGCAAGCTACCTTTCTTTGATCCACCTCACCCGACCTAATTCATGATGACCCTACCAACTTCCTGGCAAGATCCAAATTCGAATGGGTTCGTGGTCTTGATCAGAGACTATTGTGTTCACTCTCTTTCTCTTATTTTAAAAATATCATTAAGTTTTCAAAAAAAAAAAATTCAAAATATACTCTTTTTAATTTTTAAAATTATTTAAAAAACTTTTTCAACTTTTTTTTTAACTTAAAAAAAAATGATTTTATTGTTTATACCCGTTTCGAAAATAATTTTAAAAAGAGATAATTTATAAAGGGTAGATGGTAAAAAAAAAATTAAAACTTTGTTTATAAGAATTATCATGTTAATAATAAAATTTATGGGTATTTAAATACATTACAAAATTGTAAAGTTATTATTTATTATTATTAAAAAAAAAAAGGTTAAAATTGAAGGGTATATTTGGAAAATAATAAAATAGTATGAGAAAAAGGGCCGTACGGAAACATATAATTTTATATTCGTTTTAGGGCAGCGGGTGGCCCAATTATAATTGGGCTACAAACTAGAGGCCCAAATAATTCCATTCGAATTGGGCTCAAGTAGGACCAAGAAATCAGGCCCAGTGTCTAAGCCCATTTTCAAAAGTGGGCCCTTTACATGTCCATTTCTCAAAGTATCAAAAGGCAGGGGGTTTGTTTGTGTGCAGTGCTGCAATTATTCCATTACACATTTCGTACTCTTTCTTTCCTCTGGTGATCATGGCTACGTTCCTCCGAAGGCTTGTAAACGCTGCTCCAGCTCTACGCTCCAATGCATTTGGAGGCCAATCAAAGATCCATTCTTCTAAGTATAGATTCCCTATCGGAGCTATTGCTGCAGTTTCTGGCGGAATCTCGTATATGTATTATGTTTCATCATCGGATTTGGTAATTCAGCTGGATTTTCGTGTTTTCTTATCTTGTTTTTAATTGTATGTGCCGCTTATAAGATCCATTTCGGAGGTTGATTGTATTGAATTGTTTCATTCTTATTTATTTTCATAATTTGAAATCGTTGTGATGGATTGGTTTATTACTGAGCTTCATTTTCGTCGTCTGTTCGTATGATTTGGTTGTTGCGGCGTGTTTTATTCTTATGATTATCGAAATTTAATGGACGTCTAGGATGAAGCATCTCGTTGGAGCTTAATGTTCTATTGGTAAATGTTATTCACAGGTTCATCTAGATCAAAAGAGTGAAGCGGGAGGCCCAAAAGTTGGTCAGTTTGTCTCATTTTCTATTTCTAGAACAATTTTGTTATAAAAGAAAGAAGAATCTGGCACGAATGAACTTTTAAATTTTTTAGTTTCTTCTTACATTTCATAATCCATGAAAAATGGTTTTGTGCACTTCCATTTCCAGCACTCAAGTCCGATAAATGGATTGAATTCAAGCTGCAAGACACTGCACGGGTTACTCATGATACTCAGTTATTCAGGTACAAAATTTAGGATCCCCGTTTTATGGCACTTTAGTAAGATAATGAAGCATCTATTTGCTTTGAATACTATATAGATGCTTTAATTTTAGGATCCCCGTTTTATAGACATGTCTTTAGTTTTAGATTTCAGGTAAGGAATTGATGTGGGGTTAGCAGAAAACAATTACTAAAACTACTGCCCAAACTTTTCCCTTTGAAATAATGACCGGAGCCACTAGTCTCAATACATTTCGTCACACTACTATGTATTTTTGTGTTTGCTCTCAGCTCCTTTCTTCTTTCTACTCTCCAATATAACATAACCTCACCATGTAATTTGTGCAGTAATGCAACTAATTATAAGTAGGGACTTTTTATGTATGCAATATTTTCTAATACACAAATTGGGGCAGGTTTTCATTTGATCCTACTGAAAAATTGGGGTTGCATGTTGCTTCATGCCTCCTGACGAGGTAAGTTTTTCTCGTTCCTCCTCCACCCTTCCTTTTCAATTTGGTCATGATTGCTAAGTTAAAAGGATTATGCTTCTGGTTATTCATCCCGGTGCGTTGTTGTAACCACAGAGCACCAAGTGGAGTAGATGCTGAAGGGAAAGTAAAATACGTTGTACGCCCGTAAGTCATATTGTGCAAATATTGGCATGCTTGATTTTGATTTTACCTATATTTGATTATTGAAAATTTGGTATCAGTAAGTTAGAGTTTTTGAGGGTTTAGCATAATGATAAAAAGTCTTATAATTCAGCCAATTGATTATGTTTTCAAAATACTTACCTCCTTGGGAAGTTGAGACTTCCAGCCAGTCCATTCAATATTCACAGTTCAATCTTTATGATATTTCAGCTACTTATGCTACCTTCTTATTCACCATCAATCCAACCTCTCTTCTTTATATTTACTTGATCTTCATGAAATGATTTTGTTTGTGAGTCTGTTTTTTGAAACATCAAGATGAGACTCGATTGTATTTATTGATGTATGTAATGTGATTCCCTGTATATTTATTCTGTCCAGGTATACACCTATATCAGATCCTGATTCAAAGGGATACTTTGATCTACTGATTAAGGTATGTTGTTCTTCACATTACCGTGTATATTTCCTTAATGTATCTACTTATCCTTTTAAAGACAAAACTTCTATATGATGACTTAATTTGTGGTTGCTTTCGTGAATTTTGCAGGTATATCCTCAAGGAAAAATGAGTCAGCATTTTGCTAGCTTGAAACCTGGGGATGTGGTTGAAGTGAAAGGGTATTTTTAATTTATTTTGTTTTCCTCCTTACTTTCAGGCCATGTATTGTATATCGTATATGTCACTCTCTTTTCCCTTAATTGCTTTGCAGCCCCATTGAAAAGATCAGATACTCACCAAATATGAAGAAACACATTGGCATGGTAAGAAGAATCATCTCAGATTGACCGTGAAACTATCTGCGCACTTATAACTCAATTGCTGTGCATCCCCATTGAAAGCTCAGATACTCTAGTTTGCATATCATTTTTTGGATTGGCAATGCTATTATCATTTGTAACTTGTAATTTAAAAGATAAAAGTTCATTTAATTTTTTTTATTGACATGCAAGTCATATAGCTTTCTTTGTATCGAGAATGACCATTTCTATTATATGACAGGAAACTGAAAGACAGCTTAAGTGTAATTAGAGTAACTAAATACTGAGATCAACTATACGTGATATCTCCAAATTTTGTTTTCTGCCCATGCAGATTGCTGGTGGCACTGGAATTACTCCCATGCTTCAAGTCATTGATGCTATAGTAAAAAACCCAGATGACAATACCCAGGTGCGCAATCACTTAGTAAAGCAAGTTTCGTTGATTTAGAGAAAAGTTCCAATAGAAGACCCTAAATTCTATTTGGAGCTTGTGAAAATGCACCCCAATTGGAACTGTTGTAGTAATTTCCGGTATTTTCTATGGGCAGTGGAGCAGCATTTTCTTCTAACACTTAAGTGATGAACCTGGGAAATTTTGACAATAGACACCCTTTGATTTTTCAACCGACCTTCGTTTGTGCAGTACAAGCACAAAATTAGCTCAGCTGTAACTTTTTTATGATTGCTTGAGCATTTCCTTTAATGCTTACAGGTCTCGCTGATTTATGGGAATGTGTCGCCTGATGATATATTGCTTAAACAGAAACTTGATCTACTTGCATCTAGCCACCCAAATTTAAAGGTATCGTTTATTTGATTAGTGAAAAACTGCTGTAATATTTAGAATTGTGTCCTATCAAATGATTGTGAGATGAACGATGACATATTAAGAACCTAGTTTCAGTAGCGTGTTCATGTATGAAGGACAGCCCTTTGTCATCACTAGGGTAATTTCATTTGTATAGAGAGAGAAAACAACAGTTTATTGATCGAATGAAATTCCTGCCTCGTAATGAAAGTGATGGACTCTATGGTAATAAAAATGTAGGTCTTCTACACTGTTGACAATCCACCAAAGAGTTGGAAGGGAGGAAAAGGATACGTAACAAAGGATATGGCCATTAAAGGCTTACCTGCCCCTGGGGACGACACACTAATCCTCGTAAGTGTTTATTGTTGTTCTTATCTATTTCATTGCAATATGATCAATAAGTCATTTTCCTCTAGTGAGAAGGAAAATGAAAAAATGGTTTAAAAAATCTGTGTTGCCTCTTCCATCTATTGTTCCCATTATTATAATAACATATTGAATCATGCTCTTGTATATCAATTGGGCCGTCTAAATATCTTCATATCCTCTAGACCTATATGTGAATTATCTCTGTATTAATCGAGTGTGGCCTGTAGAGCCAGGCTCCTAGATCCTGTTGTAGCCTATGGTCTGGCTACAAGTTACTTACTAGGACAAACCAATGAAAGCGTTCAAGTCCCTCCACACCCATATGGTTTTGAATGTATTCGTATACACACACCTGGCTACATGGCCAGGGCATTGGTATTGAGGCTATCTAACTTTTACACTAAGAGTCTATCTGTAATTTTTGGGTGAAATGGGAAAGAAATTATATGTTTTATAGTTTTACTACCATAGTCATTTCTAGATACATAAACGACTCCCTTCCACGTGTTCAGGTATGCGGTCCACCAGGAATGATGAAACACATATCTGGGGAGAAGGCTAAAGATTACTCACAGGGAGAGGTATAGTAATATATTTGGGCTTTTCACTGTCCTTTCATGAACTTTAATTGATTTATCGACTGTTATTACATAGTAATAATCTTTTTTACTGCTTTCTTGTAGATTGCTGGCATCCTTCAGGAACTTGGATATACTAAGGAAATGGTCTACAAATTCTAACAAGATTGACGTATAAACTTTATGTGAGGAAGTATTTTCTGAAGCATAGGTAGATTTGAGTCTTTTGACCAAAAAAATTAAATCAAAATAATTTCCAAGGTGATGTTCATTAGAAAAGTTAATCTTATGAAGGCCAGTTTATGTTGGCTTTTTCGATTTTTTCTTGAAGTGTATAACACTTGGCTGTTTGTTTCATGTCATGTTGTCCGAGTGAAATAGCATCTCAGCCGGGTCTACCAGGAATGCCTCTGGATTAAGGGGCCGGCATCTCATCCAATTATAGGGTAATAATAACACGACTGCTTCTCCATAAGTGGTTCGTATCTAGTACTTTTTTCAATTGTAGATTTGTTTTTGGATTGATTTTTCAAGTGCTTAAAAAGTGTGTTGAAGTTAAAAAAATATATATTCTTGAGCACTTAGAAACTCGAACTATTTATTCATGTGATCTTGATTCTATCCATTAGAAACTTATCCAATTCTATAAGATTGATTGACTCTTCGATTGAGATAAAAAAGTAGGCATTTACATAGGTTCATCATTCTATGAACTCAATCTCATTCATTAGCCTTCTGAATCTTAGTTCGAAACAACAAAATATAGAGCTTCTCCATTGAAAAATATAGGAAACAACCTGTTGAGTGGGTCACAAATGACCCAAAACTTGAGCCAACAATACAATGCCAGGCCGGCCCATGAACTTTATCAAACTCCTGCATTAGGCCCTAACTTCATTACTATAAATCGATGTATACAAAATGGGATGTCAAGGGAAAACATTTATTAAACACTGTTTTTGTGTTCTAAAAGAGGTCCTTTTTGACAAGAAAATAGTTGAAGTATGCTGTAGCATAGATTTTAGCCCGATTTACAGATATATTTATCATTGACCGTTCAATTAGAACCTAGAATCGTATGACATTGACCTGGAACGATCCCAATTTCTTATCACTTCTCACAACTTTGTTATTCATCTATGATCCTATAAACTTGGCTCATCTCACTCTACTAATCTCAAAACCCTTCTTGATTCTCGTCCCGTAACCAATCTGAGCCATACTAATTTAGTAATAAGTGAGATTCTTTCAAAGTGATTGCAAGGGAAATTAGCATTACTAAGCCAATGCACATGGATTGTTAGGAAAAGGAAGACTACATTTGAATGAAATATCAGATTGTGAGCTTAAAATATGTGCTAATCACTGATCTAAACACATGGGCTGTCGGATCCTTTGACCAAATGCCCACTTGAATTCTGTCTGATTTTTTTTATTCTTTTATAATATAATACACTGATTTAGTGATTGAAGTGAACAACTGCCTCAATGATCAGAAACCTAGAGTTTGAGATGGATTGTGTTTAATTAGAGGATTCCGACATGGATTCGTTACTATTGTTCTCTTCTGACTTTCCTTTTTGGGTTGTCCCTCAAGGTTTTTAAAACGCTAGGGAGAGTTTTCACCCCCCTTATAAATAATGTTTTGTTCCCCTCCGCAGCCAATGTGAGATCTCACAATCCATCTCCTTCGAGGCCCAGTGTTTTCACTAGCACTCAGTTCTCCCTCGAATCAATATGGGATCTCACAATTTGAGTAAAGTTTTTCATTTTGTGAAGCCGATCAATGATATGCTTGTAATGAGTATATATTTAAAGAGAAAATAGAAATGATCGAAAGAAAACCCAAAAAAAGACACAAATGTAACCACAAAACTTGGCAATGGAAGAATCTATGATACCTTTTTAATATTGTAAGCCATATACTTTGAGCTGAACTTCTCCAAGCTATCATAACTCCTCCTTGCAGTCCTAAAAGCCTCAACTTGCATCATCTCAGGCATGTCTGATACCAACACCTTCACTTGAAGAAACGTAGCCAATGATGCCAAATTTGTTTCCACTTGGGAGACTGACTTCCTCCCCTCGACCACCACCTTTCTTCCCCCACACTCGACCTCGCCACAATTCTGATCACTATCTTTCTTAGATTTCCCATTCAACCAGTTATACTTGTAAACAGATGTTTTATCCACAGAACTCATAGAAATAGAGTTACGAGCTGGTACATTGTGATGAGCTTCATCCCGAGACTTGTAGAAGGATTTGAATCCCTTCATTTGCTTGTTTAGACTAGCCATTACGTTTACGTTCTCGTGGAGAATATATAAAGAACATGGAAGGGGGAGGAGTTTTTAAATAAAGAAAAGAGTCAAACCATGTGATGAAGGATAGTAAATTGGTTGTCATTTGATATATTTTGTGGAGCTGCTCCAAGACAGCCTAACAGAAAGGACACCCACCCCCTACACAGCCTTACTTGTAGGGTAAGGGTCCCTTGAAGTATATGGTAGGTTGATGTATTATTTGTCCTAAACAAAGGAGAGAGCATTTTCAATGAAACAAAATGCTTCCCTAAATCAATGTTGTGGAGAGTTTGAAGAAATGTTTGTCTAAGACCAAAAAAACATATATACAATAAGGTATTTTAAGGAACATGATGAAGAACTCTCACTATTATTATTATTATTATTATTTTGTCTTTTAGCTTTATTCGAAGTTTGAGATTTGTGTCTATATTATCGAATTTTCAAAAGAGTTTGATAGATTCCTAAATTTTGATTTTATTTTGTAATAAAATCTTTGGCCCGTTACGTATCTTCGTCAGCCTCACGGTTTTGAGACGTGTCTACTAGAAAGAGATTTTCACACATTTACAAGAAATGTTTCGTTCCCTCCCTTCTCCAACGATGTGGGATCTCATAGTCTACCTTCTTTGGGGACCCTGTATCCTCGTTGCTACATTGTCTCCTGTGTTTGTCTTTGATACCATTTGTAAGAGTTTAAGTCCATCATTAGAAGATATTGTCCGTTTTAATCCGTTACGTATCGTTCTTAGCCTCACAGTTTTAACACACCTCTTTAACAGAGGTTTTGGGACATAAGATCTCAGCTCTTGAACTCTAGGTTAGGATGAATTAAAAATTTTAAAAGTAATTTATTAAATAAATTTAAGTTTTCAATTTTATGTCCAGTAAATCCATGATTTAAAAAAAAGAAAAAAATCTAAACTTGTAATATTGAAATTTAACCTCAATTTTTTTAAAAAATTTAAAATGCCAAATTATGATTTTTTTTTAATAAATTATACATAAATGATGTGAAATATTAAATATTTATGTCCATTTTCATCATGAATCAACATTTTCATTATATCGTAACAAAAAGTCATTAAATATAATATAAATAAACTAAACTATTTTAAAATAAATAAAATGAAGATAAATTGGGTTTTTTTTTTTTATAATTAATTTGGAGATCAATAATTAATAAAAAGATAATTGATATTTTGCTACATTATACTTCATGTAGAGGACCAAGCTACCGTAATACTTTATATTATATAGACAATTATTTTAATAATTGATATCTTTATCAAGGTAATTTAATATAAAGTTGTATAATTATGACATTTAATAATTTATTGAACAAAATCTAATAATGGATGAAGTAATATAATTTTAATTAGTGTGTTATTTAGTATAATTATTATTTTATGGTTGAAAAGTGACATATAATTATTTCTTTATTTAATAAAGATAATAGTAAGCTACGTAGCTTATATTATAAAGTTCATAATAATATTAAAACTAAGCAATGAAAATTGCATTATTTTGGGGATTAATTGACTTTATGATAAATATGTAACAGTTTAATGAAGTTCTAAAAAATTGTGACCCGGCCCATAATGGGCATGGGCAAATTTGGAATTGCATGGTCCGGTCCGGTCCTTGTACATAAACCGACTCAATCAGACCGGCATGCGAGCCAGACACAAACCTCACGGAAGGCCACTGCTTCACAAGGAAGACGAAGATGCTCAAGCCGCCGTTTGCAGAGCGCTTATGGAATCCCACAGCACGCAGTTTTCTGCTTCGTTTCAGTCAATATGTAATTAGTTTTCCATTTGCATCTTCTGTTCTACGGTTTTATCTTTCGTTTTTTGTTTCTCTGATTTGTATTGGTCTCTTTAGAGGGGACTTCATAGCAGAAATCGGAAAGCCATGGAGTTGATCGCCAAAGGATGGAGTGCTTTGAAGGAAGTCGATAGAGTTATTGATTACTGCGAGCTCAATGATCGCCGTCTCATCCCGCTGCTTCGGGTAATTGCTTTGAATTACACCTTGTTTCTGTTTTTCTCTTCCCAAATCGCTGAAATAATCGTTACGTTACTCTTTTACATTGCTAATAAATCATGTAACTAATTACTGATGCTTACTGATTACTGAGATGGATTTATGTGGAAAACAGTATCTGAATGCTTGATGTTCATGAAATTTCCTTGGATGTTTTCAGGATTTACTGAAAATTTAGAGGCCTCAAGTTCAAATTCAATGCCATTTCATTTCTTTCTTAATTAATATTTGTTCATAGTTGATTAGTCCTATCCTAGCTGATTACGTTGAAAAATTGAGCTTTTGGGTAATCATCTTATGCTGCAGTTGAACAATTTGGTATTTGTGTCTGAATTAAAGAAATGTATGCCATTGTCCAGAAGCTAATGGGATGGCCTTCATAGAACAGCAGGCATCTTTGCTTTTATTACTTTGGTTTTGGCTGCATTTTCTATATACTTCCTCTGTTTTCTTTAAGTAATTGGGATTACTCTTCTCACGAGATGGACGTTGTTTCCCATTGCAAATGTTTCAGACAGCGAAGGAAAACTTTGAATTGGCTCTTGAAGTTGATAATTCTAATACCCATGCTAGATATTGGTTGTCAAAATTGCATTTGAAGTATCACGTCCCGGGGGGATGTAAAGCTGTGTAAGTGAACCTTGTACTTCTTTTCTTGAACGATGCATTCGTTACTTGGGATAACTGCTGTAGTTCTTGAGTTTTGTGTTTCAAGTGTTATGGCTGTAATATTTCGAAGGTAAGTGATAGGTCGGCATGGGAAAGAAATTCAGTATGACTCTTTCGAAACATCTACTTTCATTTGTTCATTGTCTGTTTCAAATCTCAGAAAATATGAAGCAGACGGATTCATTTGTCTTCAAGTTCTACGTATATATTTTGTACCACTGTGTGGCCATGTCTATTATATGGCTGCTGGTTTTTTGCTCAGGGACATGTTTTAGTCTCTTTTTCTTCTTTGTTGTAACAGGGGAGCTGCATTGTTGGTTGAAGCAGCAGATA